CATGCGGAGAAAGCCTTGTCCTTGCGTTCTGGTCGCTTGGCTTCTTGGCTGTAACACTCTTCGTCGGAGTGTGTAGTGGTGTTATGGACGGAGCACCACTTGGTTGCTCCCGCAGGCTTCGTCTTCTTTGCCCTATGGCCCTCCCGCTGGCGATTGGGACAGTTCCTCCTGACATGTCCCGGTTCGTTGCACTCGAAGCAGATGGGGCCAGATGTCTTGGTAGCCATGGCGAATACGCGGCCAGCGATTTGGCCCTTGGTTCTCTTGCGCATTTGCTCGTCAAGGAAGATGTTGCGCATGGTGGCTTGCATCTGTTGTACGTCGAATGATGGGTCGCGGAAAACCATCATCTTGATGTCCTTGTAGTCCTCGGAGAAACCTTGCACACAGATGTCCTTGAAGCGGTGATCGGAGATGGATTCCCCTATTTTCTCTAGTTGAGAGCGGAGGCGGTGTTTCTTGCTGAAAAAGTCGTCCGGGTTCTCTCCTGGCTCCATGACCGTCCTTTCCAGGTCGTCCAGTTTAGCCCTGATCACTTCATCTGTCACTCGATTGTAGTTGGCCTTCAGTTCCGCGAATGCTGCCTGTCCGTCGCCGCTAAGGCCGGTGTCGTCTTCGGTCTTGTGTACGGTTAGTGCAGCCGGCAGTTCGACGAGGAAGAATAGGATTGCGTAGAGGTCTTCGTTTGCTCTCTCGTATGCGGCGAAGGTGGTGTCCGAGGGATCAGGCCTGCGCATTCCCTTGAGAAGTGGCATGATGTCCCTCCGAGTAACGCCGACGACTACACCCAATTTCTTCATCCAGTCGTTGAAGTCCTCTGGTTTCGTTCCATCGAACTTGGGGAGTCCTCTGATGACGTTGGCCAGGTTTGTGGATCCATCAATCCAGATGCTACCTCCGACTCCAGTTTCCGATGTTGCTTCCATTTCTGGTTTTATCCTCATGACCTCGTCTTGAATATTTTTGTTGGTGTATTACTCAGCTATCTGTCTCTGAGATTCTTCCAGCCCCGCTCCTTCTATTGATATAGAGGACTCCGGTTGCCGATTCGTGACCCCGCTTCTGAAACCCTTTTCTCACTTAGATAGAGAATTGGTGAATAGAATTCCGGTTGTATGCCAATTCGCAACCCCGCTCCTGATACCCTTTCCTCACTTAGATCGAGAAGCGGTGGATAGGACTACGGTTACCGGTCGACTTTCGCTGTTGAAACAGTCTTCCCTCCTGTCTCTGCCGCAGAAGTATTTGCTTGATGTCAAAATCGAGGCTTCCCGCGCAACACTTTGCTGTTTGTTCACCGCAGAGGTACCCACTACTGTTGCAGCAGTGGTAACGTGTGTGTATAGTGAACTCTCAGCCCCTTGGTGTAGATGACCAAGTAGCGCGCTCACTTTCGTTTCCGCTGACTGTTGATGATCTCCCAAATGTCCGAATCCAGATTTCCGCTCGAGGTCCACAGACGGATGTTGCAGTACACAGTAGGATGTCTTGACCTCCGTCATGATGTCAGCAGCTCCTAGCGTTCGCGTAATGCGAGGCTCATAACCTCACAGTATGTGGCGTTCTGAAGCAGCGGAGGTGGCGGTGCTGCTGTAGCTCGTAGACTTTGTAATCTATCACAGAGGTTATACTCCTGTGAGATCGGTAGGCCCGAGCGAGCTTCGGAAAGAGAAATGTAGATAGATGTTCTTATCAACTGACTCCCTGGTCAGGCGTTGATGGGTGCTAGATGAGAGTGAGCACAAGGGGCGAAGGCGCGCTTGTGTCTCAGCTCAACAACAAAAACAAAAAACAAGCAGCAATCACAGCAGGTTCCGAGGGTCTCCAGGGTATGGGCCCGAGTACCGTAATTTCGGGGTTCGGAACAATGAAAAAACTACAGTCTCGCCTGCGAAATAATCTCCGCTACAACTTTGTGCTCATGTTCTCTGCTAAGTAGCATCTCTTCTTTCTGTATTATGTCCACGGAAGGCTAGTTGCCGCAGTCGCACCTATGGTAAACTGCTGTGTATGACTCCGTTGTAACAGTTTTCCTCGACAGGGGTTTGGGGATAGTGTCTGCGTGCCCCCTCCCTTTTTTCTAGATACTCTTACAATCCTGCGTAGGCGGTCCCTTTTGGGCCACCTCCCAGCAGTTCGAGTGGCCTACAGCTCATGGTTTGGGAGTTCTCCTGAATTGGTTGTAGGCAAGAAGAGTTACTGCTTTTTTTTGACGGCTGGTGAAGAATCTTGTCTCATCCCAACTTTCCTTGTCGGTTCCTTTCACAGCGATCACCACATGCGTACATACACGTGGACACACACCACCGCACAGGAGGAGCAGGTTTGTCTAGTGGTGTTGACATGAGGCTCGGACGAGTCTGTACCCTGCGATGCCATCGTTTTGTAGTTTACTACTCTTGTTGCTGCTCAAAACTCTGGAACAACTGAACAGGAACCCACGCCTCAGATAAAGTGAGACCGGTGAGAGGTGTTGGTCTGAGCCGTGGGCGGAAAGCGGGCCCGTCTCAGACAAAACAAAATTGCCGGCTGACACATTTTAAAATACTCAAAATTATCGCCGACGCTACGGATTCATGGATTCATTGCTAATCTACTGTAATCCTGAACTCTTTGCTGCATAGACGTAGATGGATTCGTTGGGTCATTTTCAGAAAAGAAAGCCGACCCTGTTTTGGTCGGAGGATTTTGGTTTGACCCAAAAAAAGCTCCCGAAACGGTCTTGTATTTACCGCTTTTGCCGCAGGAATTGAAAAATGTGAATGTCTGAACGTGCCGGGGTTATTCTGTCACACTGGACGTGTTGTCGTGCAAGACCCATCACCGTGGGATGCGACATACACCCGGGTTTCAATTTCAAGCGCCTGTAAGGCAGAGAGATGGCACCGGGTGCGATCATTTATTAACATGCTTTTCTGTTTTTTTCGCACCCCGGTGCGATCTCGCCCCCCCCCGGTGTTTTCCATCGGGGTTGGGGTTCGTCGCTTGGCAACGATGTTGTAAAACACGCCTCGTGAACTCGGCAACCATGTTACCCTTTTTTTTACCTCTGGTTATTTTTTTGGCGGTATCCATAATGGTGGTCGAGTAGATCATGTTGTGCGGGGTGGAGAACCCTCACTCCACTCAAGGGGGATGATCGCACCACGTTGTGTTAAAATGGTCAAGCACCCTCGAGGCAGTTACACAGTGCTTACAACTGTCTCTGGAAGTGAAAGCACCAGAAAATAAATTAAGTCATACGCAGCTGTCATCCGTACGCAAGGAAGTAAGCACAAGATGCCGAACACCCTTAGCAGGATGCAGCGCACCCTTCATGCGACTCGCCGAATATCTCACGGCGCTTCGCGCTTGGTGATGTGAGAGCCTGGTCCGGTGAGAACTCGGCGTGCTCCGTCCCGGCTTTGCAGGGATGCGATGTCAATGGTCTAACGGCATGCACGACTATGAGTACACCCCCCCCCCGGTGAGATCTCTCCGACCCCGTCTCGGGAACGGTATTTAATTCATTTCGTTTTGCTTTTTTCAAGGCACCCTGGCGCGATCTCTCCGACCGGTGCGATGCCCAATGGAGTACACGGAGGTGCACTAGTGCTCGGCGGTGTTGTATGCACGCATCCCGGCACCATCTCCTCGACCGGTGCCTTATCTCCACCTCAGTATAGGGTACGTAGCAGTGTAGCTACAGCAGACGTGTGCCGTGTAGGTGACGTTCTTGCTGGTTGGGAGCACACTGGTAAAGGCAAGACGTAGGCTATGCGTAGACTAGTACGTGTAGCGGCTTCCCTTTCCATAAAGCGAGTGGTCATGGTGTTTGAATGCGAGTTTGGCTTTGGGCGTGACAAGAACAACGGGCGACGTGGTTTCCGTACGTGTAGCGGCTTGCCTTTCCATAGAGCGAGTGGTTATGAGGTTTGAATGCGAGTTTGGCTTTAGGCGTGACAAGGACAATAGACGATGTGGTTTCCATGCGGGGTACCGGTACATACGGTATCACAGGTTGTCTCCCGCTTTCGTTTCGGTCTCCTCTACAAATACTTGTAGCGGCTTGTATATTGTGTGCTTGGTGGAGTGTACGGTTGGCAACTTCCATGCCGATTAGATGAAAACAACTGACATCCCGCGTGAACCGCGACCGTACATCAATATCGTTTTTAAAAAAGAGTGTCGCTCGGCTGACGTACTCCCCACATGTAATAGGTACACACATTTCCGTTTCCGGCAGCTCAAAAGTAGCTCAACCTTGGATTTGGAGGTCGGCGAGATCGCAACCGGTACGATCTCACCGACCCCGGCGCGGAAATCGGATTGACTCATATGCCGTGCCTGTATGTTTTTGCGCACTCCGGTGCCACTTCTCCGCCTGTCGCGGTATTTTTGGTATGCGGCCTCCCTTGAGGTGTCTGTGTACGGTAGTGAGAAGAACGCAGCATGGAGTATTCCCGGTATGTTGTAGCAAGGGGGAGGGGAGGGATACCCGAGTGTCTTGCTTGCCTCTCTTCGTTGTTGAAATGGAGCATGCAGGCGCACCACGGCTGTCTTGATCCTGAGCACCCCCACACATGCTTTCGTTTCGTGCATTGGCATGTGAGAAGGGATTGGCTTTATCGATCCAGCTCGAACGGGGAAATACACCCCCGGCCTAGCTTAGCAGTGGCTCAAGGACGGTGTAGATTCTTCTTGCTTGTGTTCTGTTGTTTAGCATCTGTGTAGATACTGTTTTGCCCTTTCGTGGGTAGTGTAGTTGGTGTAGTTGGCCTGTGACCACAGAAGGCCCTCGCGTCAGTTAGACCGCTACAGGTGATTCAAGGCACTGAGCAGAGACCCGAAACGGCTTTGTTGTTGAAAACCACCACAGCGCATCGTTTCTCTGGAATAAGCCTAGCCAGGTTTCCTTCATTTTTTGTTCCGGAAAACTTTCGTTCGGAGAGATGTTCCATATTTGCCTGATGAGTCATTCACTATCCGTTTCCGCCGATTCTTTCGCTCACACCTTTCAGACTGAAGCAGAAGATGGAGGACGAGATGTGTGAGGCCTCCGTCATCCTGGGTAGGCTGGGCCACGTGAATGAGCGCCATGGTGAAGCCATAGGCCTATTGGAAAAGTCGCTTGTCGACGCCGGGGCGCGGGACGCTATCAAATCGGCGACGTTGAAGGTTCGCAGCGAGGTACGCCGCCCACCACCAAATGAGTTCAAGAGATTCCCGACTGCATGGTTTTGTTGTTCTCTGTCTGGCACGTTCAGCTTGGTGTCTCTTTGGGAAGGGAAGTGTCAGCGCACCACTGCTCTATTTCAAGTTTTTTCATTAGTACCGTTGAGTATGCACAGCTGTTTTTCAATCTGCTGTGCTGTCTCCCGCCTTCTGTTCTGCGCGATACTTACACGCGGCCGGTCCGGTCCACTCCAGCTTCCGGACTAGTTCTGTCGGTTTCGGTCGCTGCGCGTACCACTTAGGCGAAACGTTGGGCTCCTTCGTGCGAAAAATACCTCCCGCCCCCACCCCTCCGCCGCCGCCCCTCGCCAGTACGATTCCCTCAAACAAAAACTGGAAGAGCTTTACCAGCAGTCTATCCAGGACCTTCAAGCCCATAGGTCCATCATGGAGGGGCCAACACTCGCCCGCATGGAGGCGAGTAAAAAGTTCGGAAGGGGGTTCGCTGAAGCGTTGGCTGGGCTTACTAACCGAACGTCCCCACGTGCCAATCGTAGAGGCAACGCGTGTTCCCCTTCGAAGCGTCTTGTACTCCTTTTAATAGCACTATACCTCCAACAATTTTGACAGGCTTCATCGATTCGGCGTGGTTTTCTCTTTTGAAGTACGTGTGTGAAAAAAGTTTTGCGATAGCCTCTTTATCCTCCTTCATATTTGGCCGCTTATGTCTGCCGGTTGCCTCCAAGCTAAGAAGATAAAGCAACAGGCTTCTCGCCAGTGTTCTCGACACCTCCGAGGACATGAACCTCTATTGCGGGGCAGTGGCGGGGTATGGGCAACAAGTGAACCCAGTCGGCGCAACCGTTGCAGGACATTTACAGCGCTACCTTTCCCAGTTGACACGGTCTCTACTGTAGCATGACCTGATACGCCACGTCTAATAGAGAGCTACAGTAGCTATACGATTCTTTGTTGGATGCACCTCCGGTGGTCGCGGTTTCATTGAGCGTGTTGGACCCATAACCGCAGCGGGCTTGGCGTTGTTTTGTACTCTTTATCGTGTTTATTTTTTTTGTTCGTTTGTTAGCAATGGGAAGGAGTAATTCCGTGCACATTTGCTATCCATAGGGTTCGGACTGAACGATGCACGTTGAGAGGAAGCGGACGACTTCCACGGATTTTTCTTGAGCACGCTTGCCGCCCTAATATAGACAACAAGAACATCTCAGGTGTCCATCGTATGCTTCCATTTTAGGAAGGCATCATTGTTGTTGACAACCTCGTTCTATTGAGGATCGCCTCTCCCTTCATCCCCAATATCCTCCCGACACACCACTGCAGGCTGCAGCCAGAAGTGCCGAAAATGCTCATCAAGGCTTGTGTAGCCTTGCCGTCGTCGTCGTCGTCGTCGTCGTCGTCGTCGTCGTCGTCGTCGTCGGTGTCGTTGTCGCCATTGCCATTGTTGTCGTTGTTGTTATTGTTGTTGTTGTTCGTGTCTCACTGTCTCGATCGGGTGTTCGCTATTTTTTCTTGTGATCTGCGTATCCGGAACAGCTGGTGACTGGACAGAAGGGTGCGGTCGGGCAAGCCGAGGAAGAGATGAAGGCGGTGATGGCCAAGACCGATCAGGAAGTTCTGCGCAGGCAAGATTCTTTTCTGTGGCACGCGCCCAAACATATCCCCTCCCAGTTGTACTCGATAGCTTGATTCGATGGGTAGGAGGTTCGGGCTCTACCTGATCGTTGTGAAGTCAGCAAGCAGGTCAACCAGGGGCTCGTGGAACAACCGGCTGGGGTTCATCCAATTGTGGTTGTGCTAGGAACAGCAGATATCACCCTCAATTTGGACAACTCGTGTGCTTCGAAACTGGTGAGGGGTGATGTTTCCAACATGAAACACCGTTGGTCGATCGTCGCCACAGTGGGGCGCTCCTCCTCTCTTGCGCATGTTGGGCGTCGTTGCTTGTTTTTCCGATCGGGTTGTGTCAAGGGCGGATTTGGTGTATTTTCTTGTGGTACCTTTGTCGTTGCTCTTTTTCCTCGTATTTGTGTGATTGGTCGCCACAACCTTCAACCTATCTCATCGTGGCATAATACCCGTCATCGCCTTTCACCGCGTTTGTGAGAACCGGAAGTTAATTTTTCACCCCGCTTGAAGTCTCCGCTCGGCGAAATTCTTGGCTCGCTGTTTTGTTGGATCCCGCGGCGCTGCTGTGCCCGCAGCATGATCGTTCTCGTAGACCTCGTTCTTCTCACCGTGTAGCAAGACTGTTCCCCGCCGGCCAATATGCGTTCGAAGACAAGAGCGACTGCAGAGTGGTGGCGTCCATGGTCATGCTCTTGCGATAGCGCACTGTCACTGCCGAATGAGGCAGACACCCGGTTATCAGCCCCCCTGTCGTTCGTAATCAGAGAACTACCGGGCGTGATGCGACGCGCCAATAAGACCCTCAAGGCAAGCATTAAGCTCATCGGACTCCGTTTACCGAAGGCAAGTGAGGTACTGCAGCTTCTTCTCTGTCGTCCGCGTGCTCGAGGTGGCCTTGATGAGGCCTCTAGCTAGGTCACATGTTCCTGTTCCTTACGAGCACTTGATGAGTAGTAGTCTTTTCAAGGCTGTCGTTGTTGCGGTTGTTTCCGGTCGGGGGAAGGAGCGGCGCTTGGCTTTAGCGGTGATTGCTGCTGTCCATGGTCCTGGCGTTGCGCAGTGCACGTGTCTCTTGGAGACACCGCGTTGTCCTTTTGAGCAGCCTGACCACATCCTTGTGTTTCTGCTTGCTTCCACACGCGAAGCGTAACGCTCTCACTCGCACGATGTGCGCGGCACTCGCGCTAAAGTGCGTGTTCGTTATTTGACACTGGGTTGAGTGTTTGGCACCTGTTGACTATTCTGTAACAGAATGACGGTGGTCGGACGTCGCTGACCCCCGGCACACACAGGTGAAGCGGATAACCGTCGAGGGGTTTCCGCCGAGCCGGCTTCACAACGCCGTGATCGTCACCGCTCCCGGTATGTCCGTGGGGCACGGCCACCATTCGGTGGATGACGTCACTCTAGGAGCGCGCGCCAGGTTAACACCGATAACACCGATGAGCCGGCGACACCAAATGCGACACCAGCAGCGACTGGGCCAGCTGCAGCTTCAGCAGCAGCAGCAGCAGCAGCAGCAGCAGCAGCAACCGGCCACCAATCCGAACTCGTGTGCACCGTCACCCACAAGATCAGAGGAGCAAGCGGCCGCAAAGGCGAGAGGGTCGCAGGCGGGCGAGGTGGCGGCGGCTGCGGCGGCGGGTCAGGGCGGACCGGGATGCTGCAGGTGCGGACGAGGCCCGAGCGTCAGTGCAACTTGTCTTGTCAACAACATAATGTCTCGCGGTTTTTCTGTGGCTGGCACCGCCCCGTTCCGCACAGCACTAGTTTAGCCTCTCGGCACCATTCCTATGTGTTCTGTTGTGATCGGTTGAAACACCTCTTTTTGAAGGATACAGCAAGAAGAGGTTGGTGTTGGTGTTGGTTCAACCGCGCCAAGCACGGGCTTGAAGTGCCACGAGGGCTGTTGTGCGGTTGTGCAGTGATGAGGAAAACCACGCGTGACGGTCGGTCTTCTATCTAGCATGTGGTGCCAGGGTTTCGGCTTGCGGTTTTCCGCTTCTTCCCCGTCTGAAAAGAGCACCTGACAACTGCTTTGTCTGACGGAATTCCAGGACGGCGTCGGCATGGGACGAGGAAAAGTCGGACAGAGGAAGGGGCCCTGCAGACACAGCCCCTGGTGCCCCGGAGGCATGCAGCCGCTGCGCCTGCGCGTGTCGGGCGGACGAAGTGTGGGCGGCGTACAGGGTGCGTGCTGCTTCTCCTGCTGGGGTGGTGTGGTCTGGAACGTTTCGGTGATGGGTGCACGATGGCGGTCAACGATCCGAAGCTGTCGGTTTCATGTTTGTGCTCCGGGCGTTGGACAGGACGGTACAGGGGTGGTGCCCTCTCGCGGCAAGCGGGCGTGAATACCCGCCTGGCATTGCGAGATTCGACACGCGATAGAGAGCACATGTTCAACTTGTTTTGGAGAATGGACTCTGGAACAACTTGGCAGCTGAACATGACGCCATCATGCAGGGTATTGGGGCGCACAGCCGTGAGTGGCCGTTGCGGCTACAGTAATGGCTTTAAGAGAGGGGTGGGACAAGCCAGTATTTCTCACGTACATCCCGCTTTTCTCTTAAAGTCGTACTAAGATTTAATGCGTTTCTTTTGGGCTGGACAAGCCAATTTTTCTCTCGTTTGTCCGTACTTGCCCTTAAACCTTTCACACCGTAGCCGTTTCTGCAGCTCACAGCGATATGTGCAACGCCTTTCCCTGAGACAGGAGCGTGTGACCCACGACCCCCCCCCTCCCTTCATATCTCCCTCGCAGACACTACGGAAGCGGTACCATGCACTAAAGAGCCAAGCCGACAAGGAGGAACTCCGCGTTAGCGCCGAGGAGCAGTGCAGAGAGATGCAGTCCGAGCTCGGCCGACAGAGAGTCAAGATGGAGGCAGAGTTCGACGAAAAGAAGAGCAAGATGAATAAGGACCTCGTCAACATTGTCAGCGAGATTCACACCGAGTTGTACGGGAACAGGGGCAACGTGGGACCGGCGGCGGCGGGGCGGGGCCATAAGGAGGCGGAGGCAGGGACGGAGGGGCTCGGGATAACGCAGGTTGGCGAGGGGTGCAGGTAGTTACGCGTGGCTTGTTGGCTTGACAACGCAGCGGTCGTAATCCACACAGCGTCGGGGAGGAATCGCACCGCCTGGTCCTCACAGGCCAGGGTGGGAGCGAACGCCTTGCGTTTATTCGCTTCTTATTCGGGCAAGATCCGTTTGTCCCAAAGATAACAACGTCCACTAATACATACGTGAAGGTGGCGATCATTTGGTGGTCCACAGGCGAGATTGAAGATTGAGAGCACAGCACGTGAAACAAGCGTGGCACGTCATGTGCGACCTCCAAGCACCTAAGGCCGTTCGTGTGGGAGAGATTCCAACCATGCTCCCCTAAATATCCTGCTGTGGGGGGCGCAAAGGTTCGACCACCTCCTTGTGCTGCTGCTGCCTTGTATCTGTTTGTACCCAGGTGGATCTGCAGTCTCTGCGGGATGTCGTCCAAGCGTCATTCAAAGAGTCACAAGCTGTCAAGAAAGAGGTGGGAGCAGTCTTGCAGTGCGGTTTTCAGCGGTACAGACGCGGGAAACGACAAACGCACCGATCCTGCTGTGTACCTCTTGGACGCCCGGGGGCTCCTTTCCCACACGGTTTTTGGTATTGCATTTCCCTTCCTTCTTCGGCTCTCTTTTTTGCTCGAAACTTCTCTAGGGATGGTAGTGGACGATGGCTAGATAACAATGGCTAGCGTGTATGCTGGTGCAGCAGCGAGCCGCTGCGCGTACCTGCATCTGGTTGGTCCATGCTGCTCTCTCGCCCTGTCCATGTGCCCTCTCCTGCTCCCTCCTCCACCTCTGCTGGAAAACTCCAGTCGGCCGCGCTTCGTGAGAAGGTGGCCATCGGGGAGGAGTGCTTGCATGACGCTCTGCAGGAGTCGCTGAGTCTGAGAGAGGAAATTGCGAGGAGGAAGCAGCACGGCGAGGTTCTGCTCGCCAGGATCCGCTTTCTGCAGGTGTGCGCCTGTTCGTGTGGTGTGTTGAAGCTATTTCGCCGCGGGAATGCTGGGTCATTCTTGCGAGTCGGTACTTTCGTGTTGGGACGATCTTGTGCCAAGTTTAGGCACGAGTCTCCGGAAGGCACAAAGACGTGATCGCGATGCAATCGCCTCACTTGATGTGTCGCGGGCGTGATCATACGTGTTGTATTCTGTTGAACTAGTCGCGCTGAGCTGAAGCCTGTTGCTTGTCCCTGAGACGGAGATGATGGCGTGGCAACAATCACCCGAGTCTCCCTTATGCCGCCCTTGAGTCTGGTCGTCCACTTGTCAGGGATTGATTTTTTTTTGTGTCATCGCGCATACGAGCAGTAGCAGCAGTTCGTGTGTATTCACGCCGGTGGTGCCTTACCTCTGACGACACTGTGCTGGATCCACAAAAAATGTGACTGATTGCGTAATTCTTTTCTGTGCCTTGGGAATCCTCTTGTGATGAGTTTGGTGATGACCCTCTCGCCTCCGTCCCCGCCACATCCAGGGGCAGACATCGGCGCACGTCAAGAACTCGGCAAAGAGGCGGGAAGGGGACCCTCGATCCCCTGCAGTTTTCACCTACGACAGCGACTCCCACTCCGAGCCCATCTCTCGCCCGAGAAACATGGGTTCCCGTCGTCGACACGCCTCCGATACCCACCGCCGCCGCCAACAAGAACCTCCTCCCGACACGGACACCGACATAGACACCGACAGCGACGAATCCGATGGCTCTACCGTGCACCACTACATGCGGCCAGCGCCGTTTACCCGCCGCTTTTCCAGGAACAGTTACGATGAGGAGGAGTACCAGTGCCCCCCGTCGCTCGAGAGAGCGCCCGCCCGCCCCGGCGGGCCCCCCGGGAGGCACCCCCCGTCGCAGGGGGTACGTCCCGGCGGTGCCCTCGCGAGGTACGCCCCGCCGCAGGCGACGCGAGAGGCGAGCTGGGGGGGGGGGGG